AGAAAATATATATCTATATACCTTTAACTTATAAGAAAAGCAAAGACATTTTTTTTAATATCTCGAAAAAATGTCTTGATATTTTTGTTATCATGATAACAAAAATATAAAGACATTTTTTGAGATATTAAAAAAAATGTCAATTCTTAATTACAAATTTTTTTGCAAATGTTTTTTATTATAAATTCAGTAAAAAATTCTTAAAAAATCTACATTACAAAAAACATTTATATTCTGTATTAATAAATATGGAATATAGAATTAAAAGTTTTTTACTGAAAACTTTAAAAAGTTACTACTTTTTATTAAAAACATTGCAAAAAATTTGTAGTTAAAGATTGATATACAATTTTTCATGTTGCAAAATATTTGAATAAAAATTTTAGCGTCAAATTAATTGCTATAAAAAGGAAAGATATATCGCGATGAAAAGTTACAACAATTATTTTCAAAGTAAATTCTTTTTTTTAATAAATATCTTTACATATTTTTATTTAAAAGTTAATGTGGTTTTTTTTAAAATTAATTACTTCTTTTATGTTACTTTAAAAGTTAAAAATCGATAAAAAGTAGTTTAACCAAAACAGCTCTACGCGTACGTAAAAATCGCTTAAGGCGTATGTAAATCGCTCTAGGCATAACGCTTTAAAACAAGGCCTGATGTATGTATGTGTTCTGTTTAAATGTTTTGTTTAAATGTTTAAATCTATTTTGATGAAGTATGAGCTCATTAAGTAATTAGAAACTCCAACTATAAAACCTATGCTCACCTTAATCTATGTTACAACATAGGGTTAATAAACAGGACTGAGAAAATGGCATAGCTCATTGCTTAGAAGGCCATGCTTTATCTATGAATGAGTCAAGTTCTTTTTATACTTGAATCATGCCAAAAGTAACCCAAAATATTAAACATAAAAAACCACCTAACTGTTTTAATATATCTTTTACAAATATTCCTGGTTTGTGAAGCAAATTTCCATCAGTGAAATCTTATCTCTTGCAAAATTCACTAGACTTGCTTGCTCATAGTGAGACTAATTTAAATTCTGCTATTCCTTCTTCTGATTTCAGTGTTGATGGGTACTATCCTTTGATTCGCAAATACTCCAATAGTCACATACTTGGCTTTGGGGTATATATACGCATCAATTCACCTATTTGTTGTGAAACCAGGTTCGAATCCTTTGACCATTCTTTTATATGCTTCAGTTTAGCACCTCTTCACTTTATTAACTTTCTTTGTTATATTCTATTATCTGCACTCTTTTAGATGTTATTTCTGATTAAATTGACCATTCCCTCTCTCTTTACCCCTCTGCCAATATTGTTGTTATTGGTGACTTTTATGCTCATCACAATAAATGGCTTGGCTCTAATGCCACTGACCCAGCTGGCATTAAAGCCTATAACCTCTGCATTTCTCAATCTCTTACTCAGATAGTTAACTTTGTGACTCGTTTTCCTAATCATTTACCTTCACTCTTTGATTTATGTCTTGTCTCTGATCTTGGCTTGTGGTCAGTTTCTGCTTTTTCTCCTTTTGGTTCTGACCATGCAATCATCTCTTTAAATCTTTCATCTTGTACTTCCTTTTGAACTCACCCTATCATCACACTGCTTACTACTACCCTAAAGCTGACTGGTATTCTTTTCTTGATTTTTTTGTGACGGTCCTTGGGCTGATGTCTTTTCCATCTAAGCTGAAAAATGCGCATCCTACATTACCTGGATGCAGGCAGGAATGGAAGCTTTTATTCCTTCTTGTCAGTTCCAACTTAAACATCATTCAGCTCCATTGCTTTCACTCTCTTGTGCTATATTTAATCGTAATCATTTTTTTTCATCTTTTTCAAAAGAACAGTTTTCTTGAGAACAAACAGCTATTTATTATTCCAAGAAATCAATGTAAAAAAGTGCTGTCACATGCTAAGCTCCATTATTCTCAGTTCACTAAATCTCGTACCTTATCTCAGAAGTTAGGCTCTAGAGTCACTTTTGGAAAATCTTCAACAGCGTTGTTAACAAAGGTAGGTCTAACATTCCATCTCTCATTCATTGAACTGATCTTATTACCTCTCCCAAGGATAATGCAGAACTATTTGCAAAGCACTTTCTTCAAATAGGCTCTTAGATCTTATGGCCATTCTCTTCCTTCTATTCCAATTAATCAGGTTAACCCATTGTTAGACATTTGAATCACTCAAGCCTCTGTTGTTAAAGTCATATTTCAATAAAATTCTTCTACAACCTGTGGCCCAGATTTCTGTCATAGTCTTACAAAATTGTTCTCCAGAACTCTCTTCAATTCTCTCTAAACTATTTAATAAGTGCTTGACTGAGTCTTGTTTTCCTGCCTGCTGGAAAATGGCATTTGTTGTTCCAATTTTCAAAAACTCTGGTGAACATTCCAACCACTACAATTATCATTCAATCGGTCTTCTTTCTGTTATTAGGAAGGTGTTTGAGTCTTTGATAAAAAAATTTCTCACATCCCTTCTTAAATCAAATAACTTACTGTCACACAATCAATATGGTTTTTGATCCTATCGCTCTATAGCTGACTTGTTAACTGCTGTGACTGAAATATCTTTTTTTTTTTTTTTTTAATTATCTTCGCTTCCAACAAGGCTGCAAGCAACCACTAATTAGTGTTGGAAGTTACTGGAAGAGAAAAGATGAAGATTGTAGAGTAGGGTGTCCCAAAAAACAACATTTTTGAAAATAATCTGCTCTCACCCCCTAAATGTGTTCTATCTAATACAAAAACACTAGGTTTAAATTTTTTTTGAATAAAAAATATTTTAAGGGGTCCCTCAAGACCCTCGAATATTTAATGGGTCCCTAATATTTTCGAAAAAAAAGTTTTTCAAAAATATGTCAACCTGGTACTCAAATGAAGCGAAATTATATAAATATTTCAAAAATAATATTCATTTCAAAATATTTTTAACTTATTTATCAAAATTATCATAAAAAAACATAAGAAATGCATTTTTTTCATTTTTTCTTAAAAAACGCAATTTTTTATGTAATAAAACCAAAAATAACAACTTTGTTTCGAAAAGAATATTATTTTTAGAATTTTTATATAATTTCGCTTCATTTGAGTACCAGGTTGACATATTTTTGAAAAACTTTTTTTTCGAAAATATTAGGGACCCATTAAATATTCGAGGGTCTTGAGGGACCCCTTGAAATATTTTTTATTCAAAAAAAATTTAAACCTAGTGTTTTTGCATTAGAACACATTTAGGGGGTGAGAGCAGATTATTTTCAAAAATGTTGTTTTTTGGGACACCCTATTGTAGAGTAAGATAACGATTGACAGACAACTTAAAAGATTGCAAATTATATGAATCAGGAAAGCAAGAAGAAGGAAGTGACAAAGGCTTTTGACAAAGTTTGGAATGCTGGTTTTCTCCTTCATGCTTGTTTCGTATGTTGTATTTGGGAAAGTTTTTGAGATTATTAAATCATTTCTTTCTAACCATTTTGTTAAAGTCATCCTCTTCTTTATTTCCAGTGACTTCTGGGGTACTTCAAGATTCTATCCTTGGTCCTTGTTTTGTTTCTTTATCTACATTAATGATCTTCTTGACAACCTTATATCTAAAGTAGCTCTTTTTGCTAATGACTCAACTTTATACTCCTGTCTTAAAAAAAGTCTTCTCTTTTTGATTGCTTAAAAGAGCCTATCTTGAATCTGATCTTACTTCTGTAACAAATTAGGACTCATAGTGGCTTGTAAATTTTAACTGCAACAAAACTCAGTTATTTACTGAAAACAACTATCTGAATACTGTCGACATTCCTATATTAATGAATGGCAACACTCTAACTGAGTCCTCTTCTTTACATCTTGAATTATTGGTTACTACTGACCTTTCATGTAAACCCTATATACAATCGATTGCTAAATTAGCGTCCACTAAAGTTTTCTTCTCTTTATTGTGCTTACCATTTTCTTACTCCTGATTCCATTCTCTACCTCTACCAATCTCTTATATGTCCCTGTATGGAATACTGTTTTTATATTTAGGCTGGTTCTTCTAATGACCCTCTTTCTCTTCTAGACAAGGTCCAAAAACGCATTGTAAATGTAGTTGGAATGGATCTAACTGCTAAACTTCTTTCTCATTCTTCAAATACTATCATGGTTGCTGCTCAAAGTAGCTATCATCTTTAGTTGCGTCAGCTAAAACTCATTTTCTCTTTCTTTTTTTTTCGTCTTTCATTAAAGTGTCATTATTTTACTGTATCTGTCCCTGCATGCTCTAAAAACTTTTTTTTATTGTACTTTTTTCACTGCACTTCAACCCTAAGGAACTCTTTTCCATCTTCATGTTTTCTTGACTTATACAACCTTCAACTTTTTAAATCTTCTGCCAACCATTTCCTTGCTCTATAACTATTTTTTTTTTCTAGTAAATCCCAACTTAATAGTGGTTGCTTGCAGCCTTGTTGGGAGTGAATTAGAATGGGATAAGTGAAGCTTTTTAAGAACGGGAGTAGTGAAGCTTTTTAATAACAGGAAAAGTGAAGCTTTATTTAAGAACAGGAAAAGTGAAGCTTTTTAAGAACGGGAGTAGTGAAGCTTTTTAAGAACAGGAAAAGTGAAGCTTTTTAAGAACAGGAAAAGTGATGCTTATATTTGTTCAAAATCATACTTTTGAATAATATTATCAATAACTTGATCTTTTGTGATTATGTTAATTAGATCGAAATCTTTTTTTTTTTTTGTGAAGTCATTTTTTTTAAAGAACTTTAAAAGCAAACCAAGTGTAACTAATTGTGAAAGAACAACTATAAATTATTCTTACCAAACTTTTTGTAGTGATTGCCTTGTTATTACTCTTTTATTTTTTATAAAAACGTAGTTAAATAAAAACAGGAACTTGAATGATTAAAATATATTTAGAATTTTTTTAGATTTTTATATTTGTTTTTAAAATTTTACTTAAATACCTTGAAGATAAAGAAAGTTTTAATTTTTTTAGATGGGATTTGCAGGTATAGCTACTGGCGCTGCTATGGTAATAGCTTTATCATTTATTTGTTATTAATTTTTATTGTCTAGTAATTTGTAATTTAATTTAGAAATTATCAATGTTTGGTAATGTTTGTTTACTTTAGGCTGGTTTAAGACCAATATGTGAGTTTATGACTTTCAATTTTGCAATGCAAGCAATTGATCAGGTTAATACTTATGCACAGTTTAGATGTTTGTTGTTTGTTTTTTTACATTAAAATGTAACATTTTATGTTCTTTTGCAATAAAATACTTATGCACAGTTTAGATATTTGTTTAATTTTACATTAAAGGTTTTCACTAAAAAACAGATTTATTCTTTCTGATATCTAATAAAATTTATTCAATATTAAAAAGCTATATTTGTAATAATGGTTAGGTGTTTTTCTGTAAAATATTTCAAAATTTTTATTTTTTCTGCAAGTTTTTTTTTTTAAGTTTTTTGTTTATTAGCTTAGGCAATCAAACAAAAAAAACAAAAAAAAGGCAATCACTGAAAAGTATTCAATAACTTAACTCTGTAAATTCATGGTTAACTGTTAAAATCATTTTGTTTATATCATTCCATCATCAGAAATTCTGCTGAAGTATTTTATACTAGCATTTAAAGCCCTGTAAAACAGATCATTAAGTATTATAACTATTATTAGCAAAAAAAATATTTTAGTTTTTATTACAATCTTTTAAAAAAATTTTATGTAAATTTATAATCTATTTTATCTTTTTCACATAATAAAGGTTAAAGAAACCATAGTTATTCAAAAAATACTTTTTTTATATATTTTTATATATATATATATATTATATTTTTTTATATATTTTTTAAATACTTAATTCTTGTTTTTTTTTTTTTTTTTTAGTTTAAATTTTTCTAAATTTAAATTTGAAAATCTTTTTTTTTTTTAATTTTAAATGCCGAAATAAAGTTTAAATTTTTTTTTAAGATAATTAATTCTGCAGCAAAGACTTTCTATATGAGTGCTGGAACTGTAAGTTTTTTTATTTTCATTTAATACTTTACAGTTGTTTTTTAACACAATATAAGTCTATTTACATCCAATAAATATGTGTGAAAACTGGTATAAATGATTTTATGTTGTTTTTATCTGTATCCATGTTTGTATTTAGAGACAGATCCCGTCTAAATAATAATATCAGCAAGTTAGCAGAAATAAACTTTATGAGTTTTTATTATTTCTGTGTTGGATTTTATGAGAATAAAACATAATGAAAAAAAAATTACATACTGAAATTTGTTTCATTTTATAATAATAAAAATAAGAGCAAACAATAATATATAATATAAAATATAATAATGAATTTAGTTGCTTATTTCAAAAGTTAGTCTTTTATATAAAATAATAAAAGTCTACTAGATATAAAAAATTATACTGTGAAGATCTAGATAAATTGTTTTTTTTTTATAATTTTAAAAAAAGTTATGGTTTTGCAAAATTCATCACTGCAAATAGTTGGTGGTAGTTCTGTGTTAGTTTGTCCAAGACATCCTTGTTTCCTCAGACCTCTGCTTGTCTCTTTAGACCTTCCCTTGTTTCTTCAGACCTCTCCTTGTCTCTTCAGACCTTCCCTTGTCTCCTCAAAATATATAGTATATATAAATTTAAGCAATAATGGCCAGTATTATTTGTCACCTCAGAATTACCAAGTGTATTTGGAGGTTTCAAGCTTTAAAAATAACATTAAAATATTAGTTATAAAATATAAATAAAAATTAAGAAATAACCATAACTTTAAGAAATTTGTTCTTTATACTTATATACCTTACAGGGTAATTACACTTACATTTAGATGTTCAAGAAAGCCATGTGGTCTTGATAATATCACAAAAAATTTTTTACATCATTCTATATCCAATCATCTTTCATAAAACATAGATTTTCATGTGTATATTTTAAACAAAGTCATCTATCTGAAATGTTTTTAACAAATTTTCACATAGTATACTTTGTATACTATGTGAAAATTTGTTAAAAACATTTCAGATAGAGTTTTTTTTTTTTTATATTTTACTTCACCTCCTTAAGACCGAGAAGGCCACTACAGACAAGGAGGCTACTTATTTTGTGGCTATAACCCTCTCTCAACTCTATAACTCCGAACCAGGAACCTTGACAAACAAGGCCGCTGTGCGGAGAAACGAGTTGAGCGCGGTACTACCAGGGACGTGGTAAGGATTGAACTCGGAACCACTCGTTTATGAAGCGAGCGCTCTACCACTACACCACTACCACATGTGATAATATTATTGTTACAAGCATTTTTTCTTTTATTGGTATACAAATAAATCAATGTAATCAACAATTTAACATCAATACATTTAAAGTTAGTGAATTACATTTTGTGTAAATTTAGTACATTTCATTGGATAAGGATGATAAATGAAGTTGATAATAATGCACTTGCATAATCCTTTTTAATTTTTTTTTTGGCCAACTAGAGCAGACCTGTTAATATTTATCATTTTATACAACTTAGCTATCTATTTTACTATCATTTTTTAACTCATGAACATTTGAGTTAATGTAAAATATAATTTAAATTTACTTTGTGATTGTAATTTATTTGTAGGTACAAAAATCTTTATGTTTTGTACAAAATCCTTATGTTTTATGAAAGTTTATTGGATATATGTTATATCCAATCATTTTTCATAAAACATACAGATATATATTTGATGATTATCTAAATGAATCCATAGCAACATGACTCTAGAAAAAATGAACCAGAAACATAGTTATTCATTTTAAAAGTATTTATTGCTGTATAAGTATTAAATTTTTATAGGCCTAATACATATCGATCGATCGGTCCAGTAATATACCTATATAACCAATAAATACAAACAGGTTTTTTTTTTTTTAAATATATTGGTATACAGTGAGGTGACATCTGCTGTCACAAAAAAATAGTTTAAAGGGATAAACTGATGTGATAGAAGCATCCAAAGAAAATGAGTAGTATTTTTGATATATAAGACAAGGGATGCCATTCTGCCATTGGTTGTATAAAATTTGTGATAAATTTAGATTTTTAGCCCTTTTTTAATAACCTTTTTTAATAACCTTTTTTAATAACCTTTTTTAATAACCTTTTTTAATAACCTTTTTTTAATAACCTTTTTTAATAACCTTTTTTTAATAACCTTTTTTTAATAACCTTTCTTAATAACCTTTTTTAATAACCTTTTTTTAATAACCTTTTTTAATAACCTTTTTTAATAACCTTTTTTAATAACCTTTTTTAATAACCTTTTTTAATAACCTTTTTTTAATAACCTTTTTTAATAACCTTTTTTAATAACCTTTTTTAATAACCTTTTTTAATAACCTTTTTTTAATAACCTTTTTTAATAACCTTTTTTAATAACCTTTTTTTAATACCCTTTTTTAATAACCTTTTTTAATAACCTTTTTTTAATAACCTTTTTTAATAACCTTTTTTTAATAACCTTTTTTAATAACCTTTTTTTAATAACCTTTTTTAATAACCTTTTTTAATAACCTTTTTTAATAACCTTTTTTAATAACCTTTTTTAATAACCTTTTTTAATAACCTTTTTTAATAACCTTTTTTTAATAACCTTTTTTAATAACCTTTTTTAATAACCTTTTTTAATAACCTTTTTTAATAACCTTTTTTAATAACCTTTTTTAATAACCTTTTTTAATAACCTTTTTTTAATAACCTTTTTTAATAACCTTTTTTAATAACCTTTTTTTAATACCCTTTTTTAATAACCTTTTTTAATAACCTTTTTTTAATAACCTTTTTTAATAACCTTTTTTTAATAACCTTTTTTAATAACCTTTTTTTAATAACCTTTTTTTAATAACCTTTTTTAATAACCTTTTTTAATAACCTTTTTTAATAACCTTTTTTAATAACATTTTTTGTTCCAATGTCATTTTAAATCAAAATCTTAAGAAGCCTTCAAATCTTAAGTAAGCTGATAATCTTATTTAACAAATTTTCTAAGGTAAGCCTAGTAAGCTGATAATCTTAAGTAAGCTGATAATCTTATTTAACAAATTTTCTAAGGTAAGCCTAGTAAGCTGATAATCTTAAGTAAGCTGATAATCTTATTTAACAAATTTTCTAAGGTAAGCCTAGTAAGCTGATAATCTTAAGTAAGCTGATAATCTTATTTAACAAATTTTCTAAGGTAAGCCTAGTAAGCTGATAATCTTAAGTAAGCTGATAATCTTATTTAACAAATTTTCTAAGGTAAGCCTAGTAAGCTGATAATCTTAAGTAAGCTGATAATCTTATTTAACAAATTTTCTAAGGTAAGCCTAGTAAGCTGATAATCTTAAGTAAGCTGATAATCTTATTTAACAAATTTTCTAAGGTTATATAAAAGTTATACATGGTTATATGTAAAACATGTTTAAATATTTTTATCAAATAATTAGGTAAAAGTTCCTGTTGTGTTTCGTGGACCAAATGGTGCTGCTGCAGGAGTTGCTGCTCAGCATTCACAGTGTTATGCTGCATGGTATGGACATGTACCTGGATTGAAGGTATATTATAGCATTTTAGTTTAATTATGCAATAACATAAATTTAACTAATTTAACATAAATTTTAAAAATCAATTTTAGGTCTAGAACATATATGGCAGTTCAACACATGTGACACTGTCAACAGTCAATTATACAATAATTCAACATATACAACTAGTTGACAACATGTCAATGTGAGTTTTCGTATGTTTCTAATCAACATATTCAGTTAGTTAATTTGCACAACAATTCAACATTTACAACAAAGTTAACATTCACAACAAAATCATCATATACCACAAATTTAACATATACTATGAGTTTGCAAATGCTTGTCAACACATACAACAATACAATGCATGTAGTATGTCAGCAAATGTTCAGGATGTTATCTGTTGAATTCATAATTGTTATATCTTATTAAGACATTTTTTTCTGTAGCTATAGTGGTTGTGGTGTTAACTTTTTATTTAATTTATGAATTGAAAGTCTTAGGCAAATTGACTTTCTCTTTGTAATTTAGTAGCAGCACCTACTATTTTTTGAATATAGCGTATAGTTCCTCATAACCAGAGTTTACTGGGTTTTTTTTCTTATTAATAAATAACTTAGCTCAAACAAGTTAACTGCTTATAAACACTTTGACCATTGGAATTCTGCATGGGATGCAGATATCTCTTATCCAAACTCTGTTTTTTCCTGGTCACTTGTGTCCAGGAGCTCTAAAAATGTTGGATGACTTATAATCTCCAATAAAAAAAATTCATGAGGTTCAATGGATTAGGTTCTATTGTTTGAGTTCAGAGTTCTAGAGTCCTTGGTGTCATTATACCTAAGAACTCTATGTTCAAATATTGATTGTTCTAATCTAAAAGTCCTAATTTTTACCCAAAAAATAGTCCCTAAGCTTCTTTACATTTTGGAGCGCCTAGATACCAAAAACAAGGAAGAAATCTTTAAGTGATTTTTGAATCTGGAGTCTGTTTTGAGACTCCACATTTGTTGCTCTAAAGTATAATTAAAATTTATATATTGTATATTTATCCAAACTCTTAGTTTGTGTATGAACTAAAACCACTTCAGAAGGCCATTTAATATATTATCATCAGTGTTGTTTTATGCTAAACTTAATTCACATTATAAGATATATATTAATATATAATTATATTTTTATAATAAGCTATAATAATTTATACTCAATGTAATCTAAAAAAAAGTGAAATTAGTTTGTCAACATATTTTAATCACAGAAACAGATTATTGTTATTATGCTTGTGCTGTGATTATGTATGATGTTGTCTGGTGCATATTTGTGATATAATATATAATAACTGATTAAAATAAGGTTATTGTATAATAAGTTTTATTTATGTGTAATTTTCTATATTATATATTGTACAATACATTGAAATTGTATGATGTACAATATAAATATATGTACAGTATAATTTTAATATATTTACTTTAACAAATATAATACTTTGTTATTTTTTATATAAACTTTAACTAATGTAAATAACTCTATAAATATAATCTGTTTTTTTTTATTTTTTTATTTACATGAGTAATTTTAATTAAAATTTTGATTAAATAATATATGAGGGTGGCATGCAAATCTTTTGTTTATTTAAGTTTTTTGACAAAAAACTACATTTTAAATATTTTTTTAAAATATTTTTGCTAAATGTTTTTCTTTGTATCCTTCCTTTAAAGTAGGTATGATAATAAGCTTTTTTTCTTTTAAATAAAATAAAATTGTCAAATAACTTTAGAATTCTTTTAAAACAAATTATTATATAAAAAGTAGTAAAAACAAATCAACATATAAAAAGTTTTAAGACAAATCAACATATAAAAAGTTTTAAAACAAATCAACATATAAAAAGTTTTAAAACAAATCAACATATAAAAAGTTTTAAAACAAATCAACATATAAAAAGTTTTAAAACAAATCAACATATAAAAAGTTTCATTTTGGAATCTCTAGAAAACTAATACATATACCACTAATTAGTATTACTTTTAGTTAATTAAAACATATTTGTAATATTGCTTAGATTTCAGAGGTTGGTTATCATACAATTTTTTTAAATTGTAGGTTATTTCTCCTTGGTCAGCAGAAGATGCCAAAGGCCTTCTTAAATCTGCCATTAGAGACAATGATCCAGGTTTGTTTAATTTTTGGCATACCATCAAAAACACTTATGCGTAATTTTATACAATGAAATGTTTAAAATTTTATTTTAGTTTTTATAAATTTATTTTATATTTTAAGATAGTATTTATTTAAAGTTAAGTATTCAATTTTTTCATAATTTTTTTTTAAAGTTGTGTTTCTTGAAAATGAAATAATGTATGGTAAAATTTTTGATGTCGATGAAGAAAAATTAAGTCCAGATTATCTCATACCTATTGGTAAAGCAAAGATAGAAAGAGAAGGTAAAAAAAAATTTTAGAAATTGTTTAACATTTATACATTTGAATAAAATATTAAATTTCTCAAGTTATTATTAGCAAATATATTGCATTATGAATTTTTATGAAGATATTTAAAGACCTTTGATACCAGAATTAAACATTATAACATATTAAAGATAGTACAACATGAATTAAAAGTAGATATTATAGCATGAATTAAATCTAGATATTATAGTATGAATTAAATTTTGATATTATAACGCATATTTAATGTAAATGTTATAACATGAATTAAATGTAGATTTTATAATATGGTAAAAGTTTGCAGCTGTCCAACAACATCTGTAGAATTGTCCTAGATTATCTAGATTTTTGTCCAAGATCCTCTGTATTTTTTTTTTACTCCAACAACATCTGTCCAATATCATCTAAAAATTCAATCACCCCTATTAACATCTTTAGGAAGATGTAACTACATCTGATAATTTTATTCCAATTCCAATAACATCTGGAAGAATTTTTTCCAGATGTAGTTACATCTGAAAAAAATCTTATATATAACTACATCTGGTTAAAATAATGCATTATAATTTAATAATTTCATAAAATCCTGTAGTTATATTTAATATGATTGAAAAGATGTTACTACATCTGTAGAATTCACAGATGTAGTTATTCTTAACATAATTGAAAAGATGAAACTACATCTGTAGTAATCATACTTTTTACACATGTTATTAGACAGCAATGAAGTTTCAGAAGTTGTTGGACAGATGTTGTTAAACTTCTGTGTATTTACAGATGTTGTTGGGCATACGTAGTTATATATCATTTTATATATAGATGTTGTTGGGCAGATGTTATTAAACAGCAAAAATTGATGTTGTTATCCTGATATAATATGAATATATTTAGGTATTATAACATGAATTAAATGTAGATATTATAACATGAATTAAACGTAGATTAGTAAACATATTATAACATGAATTAAATGTAGATGTTTTTATTTTTTTTATTTTTTTTTAATTTTAATTCTTATTTATTTATTTATTTTTTAATTTTAAGATAGAGTGCTGAAAACTTAAAATTTCTATCAATTTATCACTCAAAGGTGTTCTCAATTTTTTAATAAAAAAAAAAGTCTGTAAAGTATTCTTCTGTAACAATTGATCATGCTGATAAAAACTTTAAATTACAGTGCAATTTTTTTAGCATTTTTAGACGGTCATTTGATCCTTCAAATTCAGCCATTTCTTTTTTGATGCAATCAAAAACATTTAAGTAAGCCTTGTTCTATATTAAATTGGAGTTTTGAAATGGTGAAGTTCTTCAGTCTTATTCTTTTTTTGTAAAGATTCTTTAGTTTCAACATTCTCTGGCTATACATTCAACTGTTAATGCTTTATGATCTTTAAGATTAAAGGAAAGACGTAAATACCTCCTGATCTAATTTCTTATAATTTATAACTTTTTTTGTTTTTTGGATAGTCTAAATTATAATCTTTTTTTGGAAAATATGGTAAAACAAAACCAAGAAGTAATTTAAAATTAAAAAAGTTATAATACTTTAATTTTAGAGTTCAAAATTGAAAATCTAGCAACTTTTATAACATCGAACAACTTTTATGAGATCGGACAACTTTTATGACATCGGACAACTTTTATGACATCGGACAACTTTTATGACATCGGACAACTTTTATGACATCGGACAACTTTTATGACATCGGACAACTTTTATACAAATTTTTATAAAATATCAATTTTTTGTTGACTTGATTTGGAAAAAAAATTACTTGATTTTACTTACATAAGTAATAAAGATTTACTTAATTGATTTGTTTAAACAATTACTAATGTACTTAAGTTACTTGAAACATGCCTAATTATGACAATTTTAATAAGATATTAATATTTTTATAATTTATATTAAAAAAAAATTTTTCTTTACTTTGCTCAAAAATAAAATAAAAAGTAGTAGTATAAATATAAATTAGTATAAAATAAAATGTCCCCATAAACGTCAAATGGAAGAGTATATACATGTATATGTATATATATATATATATATATATATATATATATATATATATATATATATATATATATATATATATATATATATATATATATATATATATATATATATATCCACATACACACACACACACAAGCCTTCCTAGGAAGCGCATGCAACCTTAACCAACAACACACTATTAGTCGCATTCCTTGTAAGTCCACGGTTAAAGTAATTTTTTTAGACACACTCACCACAGCACTTCGCAATTTTTTTAACTTTTAAAGCATTTCAATAATTTGTGTCAAAAAGCTTGACTTACCTAGTGAGAAAGAAAAAACAATACTAAAAAAAGGAAACAAAATTGTAACAAAATAATTAATTTTAATTAAATAAACTTAAAAAAAATGTAATAATTAAAAAAAAGTTTTCTAATTTTTATACAACTTTTGTATTTTTTTCTTTAGGGTGGTTGTTATTTTTAGCTATAGAATTTGATACAAGTCAAGGAAAAAAACATTTTATAACAACAATTTTATAATTTTATAACAACAATTGATAGTTAGTATGCAATTAATTCCAGATTACAAAATAAATTTGTTATATACTCTAGAACTGTGAGAAACTTTGTTAATTTTTTTTTCTTACATTTATTTGTTTTCTCATCTTTTAGTTTTAAAAATGTTTTTGCTATATTTGATGTTTTTTCTCAATACTTATATAATAGGGAAATCAAAAAATAAATTTCTTTTTGAATAACAAAATTTTGTAATGACAAAAGAAATTAAATAAAAAAATACCATGGTTTCTTTTTTAAATGTATTTACAATACTTGATGTCTGTCTGAAATTGTTTCCTTTACTTTGCCCAATTTTCAACATTAGAACAAATTACTAGAGATAATGAACATAATGATTGCTCTATTTGAAAAAATGTACTTAAAAGTTTAAAAATGTTTTAAATAGGCAAAAAGCAAAAAACCTGAAAAATGCAGATTTTTGAGCGTCAATAGCTCAAAATTTATCAAAAAATAAACTATCGGATTTAAATGCACAATTTGGAGAATCCTACAACAGTGCAGACTATTTCAATGGGGGTAGTGAAAACAACCAAATAATTTTTATTGGAACATTAGTATTAATAACTTTTTATTATTTTACATTATAAACTTAAAAAATAAAAAAGTATATTTTATAAATAAATAGTAATTAGTTTTCTTGCTTTCCTATGCATTGATAAAAAAACAGTAAAGTTTAGCAAAAATATTTGAAAAATAAAATTTAAAATTGTCCTTATTTAGAGCGCAAATAATAAAGTATTTCCTTAATATGCTGACTGATAAAAGTCACAAATAAATTGTATATCCAAAAATGTTTTTGTTTTCATTATATTCTTATTTGCTTTTTTTTTCGACTTGTATTAATTTTGGCAGTGGAAAATAAGAAACATCCTAAAAAAGTTTTTAAACCAGAAAAAGTTTAAAAACTTGAATAAGTTTTTTTTTTTAATGATAGTTTACTTGCCCAAATCAAGCCCTCAGTCGATTTTGTGGCATTACCTTGTAGCAGCTGGCTTTAAGATAGTGTCGATGTAGTAACACTCCATTGTAGCAGCAGGTGATAAGATAGTCGATGTAGAACACTCTGCACATGTTTTAAAAATATGTTAAAAAAAAAAATAAAAACACTATTAATTAAAAAAATATTCTTAAAAAAATATATTTAAAAAACTAAAAAAACTTTTTTTAAACATTTTTTTAAACAAAATTTAATTGTTTTAACTTTTGGACAACATTAAAATATGTAGCTTAATTGTTAAAGCAGCTTAAATGTTGTTGAAAGAGACTTTTTTTTACCTTAAAAGTCTCTTTCGACTACGATATAAGGATATATATATATATATATATATATATATATATATATATATATATATATATATATATATATATATATATATATATACATATATATATATATATATATATATATATATATATATATATATATATATATATATATATATATATATATATATATATATATATATATATATATATATATATATATATATATATATATATATATATATATATATATATATATATATATTTGAAACATTTATTTCAAGTAAGAGAGTACTCAAATTTACATGAATAACAATCTTCAATGTTTATAATATGGGCTTCATGTTTCTGTTAACTATAAAGCCATTTTATATTACTTTTATTGACCTACATATAATTGTTGATGTAGTTGATATGGTAAATTATAGGAGGTAAATGATTATAATATTTGTGGTAAATGTAAGTATGTGTAGTTGAGTTTTATTTTGATAGTATTACTTAGTACCTATGCTTTTAGCAATTTTTTATTTAGTAAAAATACTTTTAGCAATTTTATTGTATAAATTATCAATGTGACTTTAATATGTAAAATCTTCATTTATATAAATACCTAAAATGTTTGTAGTTTATATATTTTAGTCAATATTATCAAAATTAAGAAAAGATTTAAAAGTAGTATTATTAAGTAATTCTTTGAAACTAGATAATTTTTTTTATTGTTAATAGAAAATTTATTTGATTGACAGTTTCAATTTGTCACCTGTAAACATAACTGTCATTGATTATCTGTATAAAATTAGTATAAGGTTTTATATAGGTAATTAATTTAAAAAAGTCCTCCACAGGTTAAGTCAAATGATTATGAAATTTGTACAACTGTACTATTGTACAACATGTTTACAAATGGTTAGTACAAATGGTTGAGTAGTTTTTTAGTAAGACTAAATTTTTATTAACCCATCTAATTTTGTTCTAATTAAAAGTCAATTTTGTGTATCTAATTTGATGATTTATCAAAAACTTGGGATCTCTCTAAAACTTAAAGCCTTATGATTTATGCTGTTTTTATTAACTGGAAATAAACCAGTGTACTGAAAACCAGCAATTGCATGCAAGCGTGTAAAACATTTACCACTCTCATACAACAGTTTGAGCAACAGTGGAAAATAAAAGAATTTTCTTATCCATTTTAAATATCTATAATATTTGAATTTTGAAAAAATTTCTTTACATTTTATTGAAATTTAAACAATTTTTACCAGAAGAGAATGTAAAATTTTTGGTTATTAGATTTGTTTAAATCATTGGCTGTTTTAGTTTCCACTATTTTGCCAAGTGGCGACGCACAGGATTTTATGATGTTTCAGATATTATACAGACCAGGACTGAATTAATATCTAAAACTCCTAAGTACAGACTGAATATCTAAAACTCCTAAGAAGTTCAGAAATATAAATTACTTCTTAATTTATATTTCTTAAACTTATTAACACAAAAAACAACAAAACAGGACAAAGCTGCATTACAGCATAAAAGAATATAGATAATTATATTGTTGTCATGGTAAATGTGCATAGTATTTGGGTGTTTAAACACTGTTTTTATTGCAAAAAACTGTTCTATAAATTAATTTTAAAAGCTTATAATTTTATAAACTAAATATATACATAAATATAATCTCAAAATAATAAGAATAATTTTTTAAGGATCGGATGTTACCATAGTTGCACATTCTCTGGGTGTCCAAAAAGCAATGGAAGGAGCTGAAGAATTGGCTAAAGAAGGAATTCAATGTGAGGTAAGCCTATTTTCTTATAAATTTTGTGGTACTATTAAAGTAAACATTGAAAATCAAAAATTATTTAGTTTATATGGAAAATATTTTGTTATAAGCTGTGGCGGATTAAGACTTTTCAGGACCTGAGGCAATTTTAAAGCAGGAGGCCCTTTTTTCATGGGAAGTAATGAAAATGAATGGAAAAAAGGTTCTCTTAAAATGCTAGCACTAATATTTATTCAAATAAAGATTTTATATTTATTTTTTTGAAATAAGTTGAATGATTTCTTTCTGATTTTCTTTTTCACAAACTTAGCTATCACATTGCTGAAATCCATTTAATATTTACCAAGCATATTGTTTGCATTATTGTATTGCATTATATGCTTATATCAATATCAAATTTTTCCAGTGTATTGATTAAGTCTATAACCAAGGATTCACCTTAGTGGCTTTTAATTTGTAGAAAACAAAAAAATTATTCAACACATAGCCATTTACATGAAAACGAAATATCACAGAAAGTTGGCTCATGTGGGAAACATCAGAAGTAGAATCTACCATGATTTCCCTATATGATCTGTCTGTTTAGCTTTTTTTATTTCACTTATAAAACATTTTTTAAGACATATTATTAATTAGCTCTTCACAAATAGTTTTAGATAAATAAATCCCTTTGCCTTTACTTGCAAAACAGTTTACTTGCAAAAAATTGAATCAAATTGATCTAGCACGCCTAAGCAGGCTTGGACAGAAATGGCGTGCGATCGAGTGCTATTGCTGACCACGCAAATGATTTTATTTTTTGACAACTTGACCACAATTGTTTAATAAACAATGTTTATATGTTTTAATGAGTTAAAAATTTCAGAAATGTTCTGAATGTTTTTCTGAAACGCTAAGCTAAACTTAAACTAGGAAAAAAATTTAAAAAAAAACTAACAAAAAAAAAAATTCCTAACGAAAAAAGAAACTAAAAACAAATTCATAACGAAAAAGAAATTATATGAACACTAAAATGAAAATAAAGACTTAATCTCGAAGCAAAACTTTTTGTTACGTTTTTAATTACGTATGAAATAAACGTTATTAAAGCTTAGCTTTTTAAGCGTTAAAGTTACGCAAAACGTTTTTAAATTAAGTAACAAATTACTACTAATGATTGGTTTAATAAAAGAACAAATTTTATTAAATTTATTAAAATGTGTTTTATATAATATTTTTAAATTGTATAAAGTTTATACAATTTAAAAATATTATATAAAACTTTTTTGACAAAATAAATGTTTATAATATAAACATTTATTTTGTCAAAAAAGATGCAAAAAAAAAATTGTTTAAAAAAATAACATAATCTTTTTAAAATAGTAATTTTTACTAATTTCATGCTCTAATTAGTGAGTCTAATTAAAAAAAAAGGTTTTGAACTTTTTTATTTGTAAAAATAGAAAAAAATAAATAAATAATTAAAATGTGCCTGCAATTTAAATAAAATAAACTGCCAACAAGTTTTTTAACTTAATTTTAATTTGAGCATTACAACTTTATTAATAAGCACTTCGCGTAAGGAATTTAAAAATTATTATAAAAAATTTAACCTCATTCATTTCTAAAGAAATTGAAAACAAACAAAAAAACAAAAAAATTTATTACAAAAAATAAAATGTTTAAAACATTTTAAAAAATCGCAAGCTTAATCATAAAAATTAATTGTATGAACATTATAAAATGCTTTAAAACTTTTTCATTAAATCAACAAAATATATGCTTATATAAGTAAATAAAGTTATTTCATATTCTTGTGTAATTCACATAAAATGTGTAAAAGTTAGTAGTCACAAAAGCTTTTGAACTTATTCACAAATTAAAAACTCAAAAAAATTATTTCTAAAAATTATGGTTTAAAAATGTTTTAGGAAGACATAAGAAAATAGTTTCAAACATTTAAATTTATCATAAAAAATTAATGCCTACATAAAAAAAAATTATTTATAACGTTTTTTATTAATTTACACAAGCGTTTATGTAAACAATTACTATAATTAATTAAATGGTTTTATTTAAAGCCATTGCGAAAAATAAAAAACTTTAGAAAAGATCAACGAATAAAACATATTTATAACGTAACACTTTTTTTATTGCATTCAAATTGTTAAAACATCAAAATAGCCGTGGTCAAGTTGTAAAGAAATGAAAATATTAGCCTGGTCAGTTACAGAGTCCGATCGCACGGCATTCCTGTCCAAGCCTGCCTATGTAATTTTCTGTTATTTGATGGTCCTGTAACTTTATTATGGCCTTGTAATGCTATACTTCTTCCAGTTGAAAAATAAATCACTAATATTCTTTTTAAGTTAGCAGCCCAATAACTAATCTTGCCTTTAATCTAGTTTACCATATAACCATCTATAAGAGCATTTTGTTTTATGAATTGTAGTTTGTTCTGCTTATTTCCAATTGGAAAAACGACTTTTCACAAATACGTTGTCATAATCAGTTAAAAACAATTTGCAAACATAGCAAAATACACAACAATTGGACTTTTCACCATTATTCAACTTAAATTGAAAATATTTAGGTGAATAACATCTATATCTTTTTAAACTCTCATTTCGAAGATTGAAAATAAAAGCCTTTATTTTGGAAACAATGCATACCCCTTGCTAAAATACTTCTTACCTTTATTCTCCTTTAATTTAATTGGCTGTAGAGCATGGTTTTCATGTAAATTGGTATCTAGAAAAAAATTTTTTTTATGGTAAACATTAGCCTAATAAAAAAAAAATAGGTGTCTGTAATAAGTGTCATAAAAAATGATAATTTATAAAAAATAATATTAAATGTGTAAAAAGTAAATACCACAAAATGATGTACTGTAATCAAACAATTTTTTAAGCTATTTTAAAATCTGTTTGCCAACAGTTGTTACATAAAGAAAAAGAAAATTATAATTGTTACTAATCTAGAAATATGTTAGAAAAACCTGCTTGTTGGGAAATTTGAGACAAAGAGTTTTACAATATAGTTTATTAAACTTTAACAAGCAAAAAATTTGTGTTATGATGTAAAAATTGTTAAAGATGTCATTAAAGATAGTAAAAATTGTAAATAATGTTACAGATGTAATTAAAAATAGTAAAAGAAGATATCATTAAAAATATTAAAAATTGTAAAGATGTCATTAAAGATGGTTAAAATTGGAGTATGAAAATTACCAAGTTCATCATTACGCATTGTTGATACAACAATTTTCTCTTGTATCTTGTATCTCTCTTATGGGTTTAGTGCTTTAGTCAGTTTTTATGTGCAGTTTTTATGTGCATTTAAACTAGAATCCTTTTGTGCAGAAGTACAAAAGAATTGTTAATATGTTTCCAAAGAGAATTATTTAAATCATTAATAATTTTTCAAAGAGAATTGTTTATGCAGCAGTTATTACTAATATTACATTTGCTTTTTGATATATAGCGCTGCTGTAAATCAAGTAAATTTTTCTTAGAAGTGAATAGTGCTGCTTCCTATTCCGAAATAAAGATTTTTTAATGTAGTGTATTTGTTGACAGTGTTAAGTTTGACAATTTAGCTAGTTTAACTTACGCTATCTTAAGTATATCAAAAAATTCGAATTTTTTTTTTATTTACAAGAAAAATTTTACATTGACTGTTTGTTTATTTTAATTGTAGTTCCTGATGACTGAGATTTAGTTTCATAGCACTCAGCATACAAAGTTTGTCAAAAAATACAGTATGCTTTAATAGCTACTTTGATTTGTTGATGATTTTCAATGATAATTGCAAGATAATTTTCAATTACAACATAAGATTAAATAAATGCTATTGTCCTTCTGGCATTGTGTGGATACTGGTATTGTGTGAAAGATGCGTAAAAGTATGCGTATGGACAAAAAAATTGGTTGTAGACCTTAGAATATATTTGGTTTAAAAGATTGAAGAATTTGCTTCTACTGTGGTGAATTTTCGCAGTGACAAATCTTCAAAGCAAGATTGTCTTTTTGTGTGTCATTTAAATAGATATTTTCAAGTTGGTGATTTTGTCATCTTGTGAAACCGGTCTTCAGATGGAAGCCAGATATAAAACTGAGAAGAAACCCTTTTTTATGACTTTGAATTTTGACCAAATTGGTAGAATTAAGTGGTCAAGTAACATGTTCAAAATGTTTGCTTCAAATTTCTTTTCTTTATTATTATGGTAGTGGTTTTTATTTGATGGTTCCTTATGAAATATTTTTGCTTTTCTTGTCCTTTTGACTAGAAATTATATTTCAAAGCCTAGATTTCCAGCCTCTAGCTTTTCTTTAGTCAAAATATCATTCCATGATCAGCATGGTAACATTCATACCTAGGTCACCTAGAAGTTGTTAAATGAGGATTACTTCTTTTTAATGTTTTTGCTTGATACAACATGTCTGAAGTTAGTCCAAGATAAACGGTGCATTCCAGAGCAACAATGGTTTCTTGTGATTATTTTACTAAAGGTTTTATAGCTGAAATGCCAGCTAACAATCTAGTATTTAAGAGCATTTTTACACAAAAAGTGAGAAAGCATTTTTTTTCTTTGAAAATTTTCCATCTTGCTGAGCTGCGACTAAAAAAACATGTAGAAGGCTTGGATATTGCTAAAAAAAATTTTGATTTCAGTGTTTTTAACAGCATAAATTCCATCTAAATATATAGCTAACAGGCTCCATTATAGATTCCAGCCACTTTTGTATCCTTAAATTTGTGTAAATTGTTTCATTTTTGATTGACTTTTGATTGATTTTTGATTGACAATTGACTCATTTTTGCAGAAAGGTTGCAAATTAAATAAGCAATATCTGTACCTTTCTTTTTTTCCATATTCTCAATGCAGAGAAATCATTCTTTAACATCCCAAGTTGTCTTACCCGAGTTGAATTGCACAAAGTTGATGGTTTATTTGATGTGAGATCTGGGGTCCTTGTCATAAAATATCATTATTCACTTTACAAATCTATGGACTTATACAGCACCAGTGATTA